CTCAGCACGTTGCGACGCCTGCGTCAACGTTCCCATGCGCGCGCCCAGAATTATTCGCCGCGGCCGCGACCAACAAAGATTTTCCAGCGACACAAGGTTCTGCTTCAGAAAAGTAGCAGCCTCAGAAAGAGTCGCGGCCGCGGGCAGCGCGACTTCAGCAGCATAAATCGCAGATTTTACAAACGTTCGATTCATTCTCTTCCCTTCTGGGAGATGAACCCTAGCCCATAGAAAAAACGTAAAAACTCCATTTTTCTCTTCACCTTCTTCTCTCTCGTTTCTTTTCTTCTTTTACCCTTTTTTTCCATTTTTTTTCTTCTTCTTAATAGTTAGGATTAAGCTTGTAACTTGGATTCAGCTCTTGGATTGGGATTATTTGTAAGTTTTCATCTTATTTAATTCATGAGAATGATTATGTGGGGTGAAATACTTTGTTGTGTTGAATTCAATTTATGTAGCTAATTCTGATTGCTAGGGATAGGGGATGATTGTTCTTGTTTAATTCGTATCTCTCGGGCTTGAATTTTTCATTCTTGTGTGGGTTAATCTGATTAGGAATTGATGAAATTGAGCTTGATAGTTTTATGTAATCGAAGGGTGACACTTCGATCTTGCAGTTGGTAACAATTGGATATTGAGTTGTCGAGTTTGGTTTTATTGATTCTGAGGATTAGTTGATTAAACACCTTCTAGTTAAATTAGCGACTTTTTTGAACCGAAAGGGGATAAGTCGTAGACCTAGGCTCACATGAGGTAGATGATTTCGTAACTGAATAATCTATGTGTTTTAGATTGAAATACGCACTTGTCGATGACCCGTCCCTTGTTATGAAAAGTTATTAGGATTGGGATAGTTGGCTGGTGTTGCATGCTCGAGCTTGTACGTCTATGTTCAATCCCTTGTTACGAAGAGTTATTGGGAGCAAACCGCTAGACGTCTAAGCGAGAGTGACAATCTCGAACCGAACAATGAATTGCCCGGTTTTGCTAGAACTTGAATTAATTGTCCCCGACTCCCTAGCTTCTCCATCTTTGTTTCGTTCTTATTTTTAGGTAGATTATTACTTTTGATTATTTTTTAGTTAGTAATTATTCAAACCCCTTATTTGATTAGGATGTTTAGGTCTCATTTTCTTTTTATGTGTTATCTATATCAAAGCTAAATTCTGAACCGCCTTCCTCGTGAGATCGACCCGAGGAACGAATCTTTCGATTCGGTACTCGGTAAATATAACAATTTGTACACAACAAACTACCAGCAGAAACATACCCAATAAACAGTATATATACGAAACATATATAATCTACATACCGAAAACATATAGCGTATAAAGAAGTAATGTGAAGAAGGTGAAGCGGAAAAAGAAACGTGACTAACCAAGGCATCATCCGCTAAGCTGTGCAGTACATATGATGTATTTATATTTAATGGTGTTGAAAAAAAGTTTGTAACCACACCTATCAAAGTATAGGATAAAATTAAAGACATCCCATCATGCTATAGGGAGAACATACTTTGTGCAAATGTTCGATTATTCCATGTAAAAAGCACTAGGTGTCCACCTTCAGCTTCTTCTTTCTGGTGGCCATCTCGGTGATGAGGCAGAAATCGAGGTTCAGGTGATTGAAGTTGCGCGTGAGCTTCCCCCCTGGGCCCTCAACCTCAATCATCTTAGCCTTCATCTTGACCTATAAGGCCTCAGAGATATCCATGGTGTCAGATGAGAGAATCACCTTCATTTTTTCGCCATTGAAGTACATTTTTCGAGTTGTTGAATTTATCCAAAGCTTCTCCTTTCTCTTCCCCGAATTTTCCCCTTCCTAAACTTTTCGCCCTAATCCAGATCCAACGGCGCCTCCTACCGGCGGAGGCGCCGCACCTTCACAATTAGACCGACATTGAGATCGCAATTCCTCCTAGGGCGTCTTTTACTCTTCTCAGACGACGTGTCGTCTCTGCTTGGGCAGTTGGCCATAGTGTTTTCAGGTGGTTTAGGGGTGGTGGTTAGGCGGTCGACGTCTTTGCCATGTAGTGGTGGAGTGGCTATAGTTGGCGACATTCTTGGTTCCCGTTTCCTGCTTCTCCGTGGTGCGAGGAGAGTGGGTTCTCTAGCGGGGGCGGTGGTGGTGAGCTCGTCAGATTGTATTGGGGTCGAGAGTAGCGTGAGCTCTTGGCGTTGGCCCGATAGTGGTATCTCTGTGGAGAGAAGTGGTATTGACGGTCCGGTACGAGTCTTATGACGTTTGAGTCCTTCTCATTGCCGTGTGTGCCGGTACTTTACCCTCTCTCGTGGGGTATTCCTCTCGGGCTCTGGTTCGAGTGGTGAAGGTGCGGTGCTATTTGCCTGCTATGGAGGAGAGCTTTAGTATAGTCTAGTATTATGTGTGTTTTTATTTTTAGTGTTCTTGTTTTGTGTGTTTTCTTTGTGGTGTTTTTCTATGTTGCACTGTTGGTCTCTTTGGGAGTTTTGTTTTCCACTTGTGGAGCTTTGTTCTCCGGTGTGGAGGTTTATGTTTTTTGTTTTTTGTTCTCCCTTTGTTTAGATTTACCAGTTGTGTCGAAAGCGAGTTGCAGTCCACATCAATTGCTTAGTGGAGTCGTTATGAATTCGCCGCCGCCGCCACCACCGATTAAGCTTGACATGATGGATGCCATCTGGGGTTTGGGCTCCGGTGGGCACAGACCATCTTTTTTATCAGTGAAGATTTGAGGGATGAAAATAGCAGAGTAAGCTGGGCATAATATCTCTTTAATTAAATATCAACGTCATACTATAATACAAAAATTTAACTTGATAAGATATTAATATTTATAAATGAAAATAATTGCGTAAAAGTAATTCATTTGTATAAAAATGTACTAAAAATCTAGAGGTTGTTTGTGGAATAATTTACTCACTTTCATTTCAACTCAAAATTTAACTCAACTTTAACTCAACCCCACTATCGTTAATATTATTCATATAATTAAATAATACAAACCAATCATTCGTACACATCACATCAACTTTAATTAACTATTCATCCACTCACATTTTTTTAACTAACTATCATTTCCAATCATTTTCAATCATTTATCTCTTACTATTACATCAAATCAATTTTAATTATTTTATTTTATATATTATTTTAATACATTCTTAAAATTCCACTAACAACTAACCATACTACCTTTTCAAAATTAACTATGGTAAACAAAATAACTCATTTTGAACAAATTATTTCATAAACAATCAAGCCCTAAATTTTGGCTTAAAGACACAGATACATGTCTAAAAAGTTCAGTTTCCGCAAAGACGAGGTAAAAAATTATATGCCGCTTTAATTACCTTGAAAGTTTTAATCACCCAAAAGACGGATTGGACCAAGAAAAGGAAAGACGATGCCATAGCTCATTTTTCCAAAATCAGCAATTAATTGACGGAAACTAAGTTTGTAATGAAGGAAAGAATTCTAAAAAATAAAACCGATGACAATGATGTCGAGTCAGAGACAAATCGGAAGAGAAGGTATGATTCTCAAAATATCGAAATCTATTTTTTTTTTGGGAGCTCGAAAATAGAAGAAGATTATCACATATTGAGGTACGATGTCAAGGGCCGGAGACGACGATTGGTGTATCGAAAGTAAATTTCTTAGATTCATGTTAAAACTCGAAAAAAAAAAAGAAGATTTAGCCATATGGTAAACGTTTATTAATTTTTTGGATATTCTGTAGCTTGTAGTTTATTTAAAGTCGTATGTTTTAATGATGAAAGTATCCTAGTTTTGAATTTTGATAGATTGATTTGCAGATATTGGCTTAATTGTGGTGTTTATTCACTATCATAGGGGTAAGTTGCTGTTGCGATAATTTTTACAAGGCAGATTTCTGAAAAGCTGAAGATAAACACTATATAAACATATGATATGTACATACATACAAAAAAAAAATGAAAGATACACAAAATATACTAAACAAACACACATGTGAGAGTACACACTATATAACCATATGATAAACAACTTCAAAAAGCACCTTATCTAAACTTATCTAATTAATACTGGTATGTGGGATTTGCAGAATCAAACAGAAATTACTGACATATTGTTGATATACTTACCCTTTTTTAAACATATCTAATTAATACCGACGAGTTATTATATATTAAACAAATAATGTTAATTTTGTAAATTGATTTTTCTAATTCTCGTTTTATTGTGTCTCAAAACATAAAAGTGGAATAAAAACTTTGGGCTCGCCTTTGTGGCATTTACTAAATTAAAGAAGATGATGGAGGTTGTTTTCTCCTAAATTTTGTCATAACTTGATACAAGTTAAAACGGGCCTGAAAGAAGCACCTTATTGAACCTTTTAGTTGATTCATAGGTAGACTCATTCAGATGCCCATTTAGAGTCTAAACCGAATGACAGCATTGGCCCAATACAAACCCTCGACCAAATTTACACACAATTTTGTACCGTTCAAATTTTGATTTTCCTTTTCTACTCCTTGTTGCTATCTGGTGATGTGGTGATCCCCTTTTGCTCCGACTCCGAGCCCTCGTTTTCAAAATTTCATTTTTGTCGGCGATCTCATTTTTTCCGGCGCAGTTTCAGGTTTCTTTCTGTATCGTTTTTACCTTTGTCATCAGCGTGTGCGTGAAATTCTCTAGCCGCCGATCATAGCAGCAAGACCCCAAACCCTAGCTCATAAACCCCCCAAGCAAAAACCACTGCACAGTTAATCAGTTGGGGGCAATATGGATTTGAACACCGAAACCCTACAATTCCTATCCCAGTGTTTCCTGAACACCCTTTC